TAAGAAGAAAACAACACTCCTAGTAACACTGACAGGACAATTCCACTCCTTTCTAGTACTGAAAATGTTACTTAGTTTGGTAATGAAATGTCTGCAAGCAAACAACTGGGCTCAGAGGGCACCACGGACTCTAGAGGGTACAAGCTTTGTCTGGCAGGGAGAGAAAATAAGGCAGAGAACTGAAAATGCTTCCTGCAAGAAATCCAATAGTAATATGATTCTCCTAAAAATCTGATGGGGAAAAGTGCTAATGCTGTGAACCTTCATCTTATTTCAGTCTCCCTCTCTCTGTAAATAAACTATATACCACAGAAATGTTGAAAGCCTCAATGAATCCTTTCAGAAAATAAGTCTGGATGAACATGGGTACACTGAAAAATCTTACCATTAAGAAGTGAAATATATAAACATAACCATCTGAAGATACTGAATATTTACTTCTGACAATTTTGATTACACAATTAAACTAGTGAAGGAAAACTTCTACAGGTGTCCCTGAATTGGAGAGAATTGTGTGGATATTGATGGCTTCATGTACTTGATAAGCATTTGCCTCCCATGTGATGATATAATGGACACATTAGTTTATATAAAATTGAAGTCAAAGACCAATAAGATATTTTCAGTGCATATTTCTGGATTGATATAGATAAATTGCAAGATTAGATCCAGGAAAGGCAGTTATCTTAAGTTACTTTACATAGGATTACTATAGAGGCTTTTGCATAGGTGAAGATAATAAATAGACTTGCCAAGGATTGAATTGCCCTCTTAAGATGTGGCATCCAATTAAAAGGGAGCATCCTAATTACTGGCTTCCTTTTAATATAAAATGAAACAGAATACATCAGAGCAGCAATAAAACACAGCAAGCTAGGTTTTTTTGGCTTTTAGAATTCCAAGGTTTGCACAGCAGGAAACGTTGGCTATGACAGCCAAACACAGGAACTTATCTGATTTCTAAATTGCTCTGAACTCCTGATCTGTTGCCAGGTAGATTTAAAGTTCCTGCCTGCTGGTTCAATCCACAGTTGGCATTAGATAAAATAAATATACATTAACAAATCATCTCTCTCTCTGCCCTTCAGTCAAAAAATTACCATGGAAGGTGATATTATAGAAGAAATGTTGAACTAGATTGAAGAGCACTTGGACAATTTCATGCTCAAAAACAATACATCAACCCTAAAAGATGGAATTGCTTAATCAGTCAATCAATTGACGTGATGACATATGGTTGTGAAACTTGGACAATGCAGAAGTTAAAAGTTGTATAATTAAAAGCATGAAATGGCAAATACTTAACATAGCATAAGGTAACAAAAAAAAGTATATACAGTAGATCTGCCAAAAGACTGGCAGATAGTTAAATAGGTTGCCTCATGGAAATGGAAATGGGCTGGCTGTATCTCTTGATGAACATTTCAGTGCTGGAAAACAATAATCTTTGATTAGATATGAACTGACCTTAAGAAACCTGCCCCTCAAAATACAGGGAACTTGGTATAATTACATTTAAAAGTATTGGTAGATCATTAATCAGAAATTTCTAATGAGTCTAAAGGTTGATAGAAGAAGCCACTTGAAAGTCATAAACCCTCACAAGTAAATTTCATACAAATATGAAAAGCAGAAGTTGCTAGCTAACCGAATCTGCAAGTAGAGGAAACACAAAAATTGAGGATAAAGTTTAGAGATAATTATAAGAATTGAGCTTTGTTGATAGAAAATTAGATGGTGATAGATAGGATGTGCACAAAAGGGGCTTCCTGGAACATGGGGAGGAGGCAGTGGTTTTAGGCGAACTGAGTTAGTTTATCGGATGATTAGAGAAGGGGCATTAAGTGCAATGGGGAAGGGGGGAATCTGCGTCTGGGTAGGATATAAACTTGTGTCAAACAGCTTTTTAAGGTATGGCTGAACTCCTACGTGTGTTTCAGTTCACCAAGCCTTTGCAAATGCTTCTTTTTAAATACAACTTTGTTGCTGGAATTCCAATTGAGGCATGGAGAGCATAGCTAATGGGTGAGCGCATAGCAGACATGCACACAGACTCCACTGTTTTCGGTGGCGCTTCTGATCAGCTGCAGCACGCTGTGGAGAGTAAGGCTGATGCGGGCTAGGCAGGCTCGCAAAGAGACTCCGCTTTTTTCGGCGGGGCTTCGGTGCCTGGCCGGTGGGGTTTGGGGGATGATCAATCCACATTTGTGGCATGGCCGCCAACCAATCACTGTGTCTTCCTCTCAGGAGGGCCAATGCCACAGCAGGAAAAGCGGAAGGCAACGCTGCCCACCAGACCCACCTGGCGGCACAGTAACTGCACTTCTCCTCAGCTCCAGGAAGCTTGTGCAATGGAAACTTGATGGTAAGGGCTGTGGGGCACTCGCTGAGGGAGCTGCTACCAGTAACAGAGCTGAGGAAACGGGCCAGGTGGGGGGAGCTGCCAATGCCGCTGCCCTGAGGCTTGGCAGATCCCTCCCCAAGCAGCCATGATTCCCCCTTCCCAGCCAGCCAGCCACCATCCCTGACCTACTCTTTGCCTGCCCGGCCAGCTGGCTCAAAACGTCACCACTCTTCTTCTTGGTGGTGGCAGCCTAATGGACCTGAGCAAGTTGCTGGTGGTGCCGGCCTGAGGCAGAGGGGGGAGGGGGAGGGGGAGGCAGGCGGTGCAGCAGCTTGGGTACCTCGGCTCCATCCAAGTTGAAAGCTGAGGTGCAGCAGCAGGATTGCTCTCAAACAATAAGAGCCAGGTGTGTTGCTCGCTCGTGTGCACCCACCTGATTGAGAGCAATCCCACTGTTGCGCCTCCGCTTTCTTCAACTCAGATGGCGCTGAGGAGCCGCTGGTGCCTGCTTGAGTGGGGAGGATGAGCTTTGCTGCTGCTGCTGGGCTGCGGCGGGGCACTCTGTTGATATGCTTTCCCTGGGGGGAAAGCAGTGGTAGCCTAACACTAACCCCCACCCTGCCCCCTCCCTCACCTTGCCTCACCCTGCAGGACGAGCCTCCTGCCCACCACCCCACCTGCCAGAGACCCCCTGGATCTCCCCCAACCCTGCCCGGCCCCCATAGGCATACCTCTCCAGGAGCAACATTGAGGTGGCCACGCCCACCATGGCCATGCCCATCCAGTCTGCTGTGACTGACGTAGCCATGCCCACTCAGTGGGCCATGCCCACCCAGCACCTAGTGATACATAAGTGGGTTTTGGGTTGCAGTTTGGGCACTTGGTCTCTAAAAAGTTTGCCACCACTGGACTAGAAGCATTTGAAATGTGGATTTACAGGCGGCTGTTACATATAAGCTGGGTTGACAAGATCAGAAATGAGGAAGCGATAAGCCGCCTGGGAAAACCAAGGGAAATCATCAAAACAATTAAAAAATGAAAGTTAGAATATTTCAGACATGTGATGTGACACCCAGAAAAATATGGCATACTCCATTTAATCATCCAGGGAAAGATTGAAGGCAAACGAGGACCAGGCAGAAGAAGAACATCATGGCTTCAAAATCTAACGGACTGGTTTGGACAAAACTCAGCAGCACTTTTTCATGCAGCTGCTGATAAAAACAGGATCGCCAATGTGATCGCCAACGTCCAATAATGGATATGGCAGAAGAAGAAGAAGAAGAAGAAGAAGAAGAAGAAGAAGAAGAAGAAGAAGAAGAAGAAGAAGAAGAAGAAGAAGAAGAAGAAGAAGAAGAAGAAGAAGAAGATATGTATATGTATATGTATATGTATATGTACAGTATATGTATATGTATATGTATATGTATATGTATATGTATGTGTATGTGTATGTGTATGTGTATGTGTATATGTATATGTATATGTATATGTATATGTATATGTATATACGTGTGCATTCATTTCTTACAAGGTTTGTTGCCAAGCAGAGAAAGTGCTTGTTAGATTGAAGAGGTCTTAATTTTCTCCTCATTAATAATTTGTCACTTAAATTCAAATTCAAGTTATTTGCCTTGGAACAAACAAGATACTGATATAGAAATAGAACTCTGGGGAAAATGGCTTATTAAGCCGAAAAACTAAGTTATAGAAATGATGACCTAACAACTTTCTATCACCTGAGCCAGATCTGAATAATCATTTGTAGCTGTGTCCGAGAATTATTCTCAGTAATAATAAGATACCGTTATTTTCAATGCCAGCAGATATCCTACTGTTTAGTTTTGCTTTATTTCATTAAAACCGAATGCACACACACATATGTGCAAGAAAAGGAGGAAAAAAGCAAGGGTATTTTGTTGTATTGCTCCTAAAGGCTCTACAATTAAAAATTCTGCTTACACAATGAAAGACAGAACCTAGCTTTCCTGTGAAACAATTATCCCCGATATGTTTCCAGGTTTTGTGAATTTACCCTGGAATAAAATATATCTGCTCTCATCACATTATAGTTCCTGTAAATGTTTTTCTTTATTTCAATAAATCTGTATCCATAGCAGAACATCCAGATTCAGCCATAGTTTCATTCCATACAGCATTAACCTTGTGAACTCTCAAGCTTCCTCCTTCCATTATATATTCAAGATGGACAGTATTTAATATTTATTTGCTATGTATATGTAGGGATGTGGATCTATATATATGTTGTTCATAGTATGTTTAGGTGTGCATCATGTATGTGTTTCACTTTGAGAGCAGGCAACTAAATTTCATTTTTGATGTGTGCCGTTGTTCCCCACAGTAAAAAAAATGACAATAAAGGTTATCATCTTATCTTATCTTATCTTATCTTATCTTATCTTATCTTATCTTATCTTATCTTATCTTATCTTATCTTATCTTATCTTATCTTATCTTATCTATATCCTGCATTCTAGATAATAACTATCTGTTTCTTTCATATGGTCTGGCCAACACAATCAATATATGGACTTACCTCTTTTGATGGAAGGCTGAAACAAAGATTTTAGAAATTTGACTTATTGGACTGAAGAGACTCTGGTCTATCATATTCATGTGAGAATGTCTTCCTTACCTTTCCCATTCCTGCATGAGCATGTCCTAACTTGATGACCATTGGGAAAACTGGAGTTGTGAGCTGAAAGTGGGAAAAAAAGTCATTGTCAGAACACGAAAGCCTGTTTCAATGTTGTGATTTCAGTCTGGATATATCCAACAGATCCTGGAAGCATTTGGTTATAATATGAATAAAAAGAAAATACGGTATGTCTGACAGTCCTATGGAGAATGAAGCTTTCAACAAGCACTTCCCAACAACTTTTGTCAATATCTTCTGGAGAACAAAGCCTAGATGTGTGGCAGATGCACATGAATGCACATGAATGGTTTTTTTTTTATTTCACAGAGTCTTCAGATGTGCAGGCTTTTTAAGCAGCTGCCACACACTCTGTTCAGATATTGGTGAAAGTTATTTGGGGATTTAAAAATATGTTAAATCTGCTATCACCAACTGTCGTGTACAAGTCTTCCAACTTCTATGTGAGCCATTATATTTATTTGTTGTTAAATTTGGTATGTCACCATTCAAAAACAGATTGTTCCAGGAGACTTCATAACAAATTAAAATTGCAAAATAAAAATGTAAGAACAGTTTGCATTAATATAAAACAATAAAAATATATTCATTTAAACAGCTTTTACAGCATTTTTTTTGAAGTTAGCATATTTTATTCACAGCATACAAATTGAAAATGTATTTTAACTTGCAATGAAAGGGAATACTTGCTGGGAAAGGCAAAATAGAGTTAGAGGACTATTACTGAAAAAGTTGTTTTGGCTAGGCACTATTGTCATCAACCAGGAAAGGCTCCAATATCAAGGCTCTGAAGGTCTTAGTGTACATGTAAGAACTTAGTGAAATTAATTTATTTATGTATGAATTTATCCAACAAATGTATATGGTCACCTATCTGTTCAAAAAATCTTTACTGATGAACAAAATAAGAATTTTTTTTAAAAAAGAAAAAGAAAACCCAATTAAACCCCATCAAGGCTTAGTTAAAGCACCACAAGACTAATGAGGTACACCTGTATTAAAGCCATCCCCCTGCCCCCCCCCCCAAGAACATACTGGACTAAATGCCTGGGGAAAGAGCCAGATTCTTATGAAAGACTAATAGAGTTGGGACTGTTGTGTTTGGGGAAAGAAGCTATTCCATAGGGCAGGTAATATGACAGAAAAGGAGCATTCCTTGAGACATACCAGTTGACATGGTTTCACTGAAGGTACCTGGACTATGCCCATTCTGTCAAATCTGGTGAGATGGTGAATGCCACTGGGGATCAATTTGGTCCCATGCCATGAGGGCTTTAAAGGTGACAACCATCAATTTGAATTGTACTTGGAAGCTCACTGGCCACCAGTGTAGTTCTCATTGCAGTGGTGCTTTATAGGTGTACTGCAGTGTGCCCAATCTGCATATGCTGCTGCACCCTTGATCAGCTGAAGCTTCCAAAAGCTCTTCAAGGGCAGCCTCACATAGATTCAATGGCAGGGGAGGGGGGGTTGACTAAAGCATGAGTAATTGTGATTAATGCCTCCTGATCTTCAAATGGGAACTACTGGTACACAATGAATTGATGTACAAGCTCCCCTGGCTATGGCTACCACCTGCTCCTTGAACAGAAGCCATGCATCCAAGGGAACCCCCAGATTTCAGATACTGTAGTTTGTACCTGTGAAAGTCTTTGTAAGTTAATACCATCTCTTTGAACTAGGATCAGCGATGAACAGAAAAGTGCTTATAAAACTAGCTTAATATGTTTATAATGCTCATTTCTATTCAGAACACTTTTATTTTATATTAACTGAAGTATATGGATAACTTTCAAGGGCAATCCCACATGTAAATACTTTAAAGTAAACTTAATGTGTTGTTGCTAGGACACTAATTACTGTACAAGGTTATCTCTGTCCAAGAAGGATGATAACAGGCAGATCAGTGTACTGTGGTAAAAGGCACTCTGTGTCACAATAGATGCTTAGGCCTCTAATGACCATGAAAGTTCTAGAAGGTCTCCAAGCTATAAACCTAATTACTTAGAGGCCTGAAGGCAATTCCAGAACATGCTGAATGCCACTGTGCTGGACAGATAATAAGCCTTCCACTAACTGCATTCCTGGCTCATTTGGACTGAGCTGCCATTTGTTGGCTTCACCCAGTCCATAACGTTGATTCAACACTTTCACTGCCAGTCATAAATCTGACGAAAAAGAGACAGAACTGCATGTCACTAGCATCTTGATGATACTTCATTCTAAATCTTAATATGATCTCACCAGTTGTGGAATTCAGCCGGTTTGCACCACTTCGGCAGAACTGGTGGCTAATTTTTTGTTGCCCGGGCCCAGAATGGATTTCTGGAAGCGGCATCTACACAGAGAACCGGTTGTTCACATATTTGAATCCCACCACTGGATCTCATGCAAAGGCTTCATATACATGATAAAAAGTCTTGGGAATAAAAAGAACTTTTGGAACCTTTTTTGTAGCCGGTTGAGAGTCTCTTCCTCCTTTGTGAGATTTTTTGAGTTATGGGCTTCAAGATAGTCTTCACTTTATGTACCACCAACCAACATTGCTTTTAGGAAAAGTTAATTACAGTAATGCTCTAGCAAGCTTTTGGCCTAAAAGCTGTTTGGGGAATTATCATAGTTAGCTGACTGCCATTGTTATTATGGATCATTTTGTGTTTTTTGCCTTGTATGCTGTATAGTGTCCCGAGTCTGTAAGGACTGGAACAGCTTATAAATATTCTTACAAAAATAAATAAGATTGGAGCTGCTAAAATTCCCTCTCTATCCTCCTGAATCTTTTTTTTCCTTTGCTGACCAGCATGATGGGAAAAAGTATCAAAAAGTATCAAAACGTAGTACTTTAGATTCATCAAATACGGTGATGAAAATTATGTTTAGTTTTAAAAACCAATAAAATATATTATTCCTGTTCAATTATCAATTTGCTCTTTGAAGAAAAACCTGGTATGATCTAAATATAGAATGGAGAATGTTATCTCCATCTGTAGCAATTCTCTATATAAGGATATTTCAGTAATTATTTTCCACTAAAACTTTCTGTTCCATTATGTAGATTCTTAGTAAGAAAGGTTGCAAACTTCCAATATCTTTATTTTTGAAATTGACTCATATTTATGATGGCTGCAGTGTCCTTTGGTCAAGTGATCCCTTTTGTGACCTTCTGGCAAACAAAATCAATAACAACAACAACAACAATAACAATAAAGTTGGAACCCTATACCATTTCAGACAAATGGCTGTCCAGTCTCTTCTTAAAAACTTCCAGTGTTGGAATATTCACAGCTTCTGGAGGCAGGTTGTTACACTGATTAATTGTTCCAACTGTCAGGAAATTTCTCCTTAGTTCTAGGTTGCTTCTCTCTTTCCATCCATTGCTTCTTGTCCTGCCTTTAGGTGCTTTAGAGAAGAGCTTGGCTCCCTCTTCTTTGTGGCAGCCCCTGAGATATTGGAACACTTCTATCATGTCCCCCCTCGTCCTTCTCTTCATTAAACTAGACATACCCAATTCCAGCAACCGTTCCTTATATGTTTTAGCCTCCAGTCCCCTAATCTTCTTTGTTGCTCTTCTCTGTACTCTTTCTAGAGTCTCAACATCTTTTTTACATCGTATGGTTTACTTAACAACCATCTTATTAACTTAACCACTGCAGAGATTCACTTAACAACTGTGGCAAGAAAGGCTGCAAAATGAGCAAAACTCAGCAAATGTCTCACTTAGCAATAGAAATGTTGGGCTCAGTTGTGGTTATAAGTTGAGGACTACCTGTATTTGTATTTACATGAAATATTATTATTATAATTTCATTTTCATTTGCCTTCTCATTACACACAACTCACTAATGCAGAAATAAATTTAGCTTAGAAGGACACTAAATGTCTGTTTAAGCAGCACACCTCATTCTAAAGAAATGTCATGCCACTAAAAAGAAAGCATTTAAAAGCATAATGAATACTATGGTTTTACCAATAAATGGATGAATCCGGTGCTGATTGAGACTCTCTGAGGAAGCATTCCATAAGCAGGTATCATCACTAAAACAATCTTTTTAGTAGCCATCTGCCTCACCTGAACAGTGAACTTCCAATCATAGTGTCAACCTGGCCATATAAACCAGTCAAGGAACATGATTAGATAAGCTAAATCTACTTTATTATAAGGCTACATTGACAGATCTTGCAAGTTTGAAAGTATCAACTTCCCACACTCCAATTTTAAAGGTTTGCTCCATTAAAGCAGATCCTTCCTTAGTTTCTTTCTCTGAACATTAAGGGACTACAGGCTCCTGTCCCTCTTCTCTTATTGTTTCCCAGGCAGCATCTCTTCTTCCCTTTCCTCAAGGTCACCCATGCATTCCATTACACGTAGAAAGGTACTTTTGCTTCTATCCATTCAAACACTCCCCTCCCTGACTTTTCCTTTCCCTCTTTCCATTCTTAGCCTATGCACCTCTCCAGCATATTTCAGGGAAGCTGGAATGAAGACCAGCAACCTTTCCTAGGGACAATGCTTTCGCGCTGCTGGATGAAACAATATATGCTTCAAGGCTTTCCAAAATAATCTTATGGTCCTTATGAGTGAAGGTTGGTATAATCCAGTTCCCATGTATGTTCACTTGTAGGTAATTCTTGTCGCAATAAATAATGTTACTGCAAAATAAATGTGGTAGGATTTCCTCTTTAATGATGTTCTATGTGAATGAAGGGCACGACAGCCTCAAGAGCGAAACTAGGACCCAAGCAGGCTATTTATATAACCTCAGTCACAGTTCTCATGGGAAGGTGTTGAATATAATTAAGAAAGGATATGGCAAGAGTTTAACTAGAACAAACATGTTTGTACTGAAACCTTGGATAAAATAAACCAAGGAAGTCCAGAGTATTTGTTTGGTTAAGATTTGTTTTCTTATGAGAAACAGGAAAACAAACAGGATAAAATTATTTGAATTTACAAAATTGTCTGCACAGATCATACAAGCAGATGCTGGTAGAATTATGGAGTAGGAAATGACACTATCACACTAGAGACAAATGAACTATTC